CCGTGGGTTAGGGATCGTGCTGCCCATTTTGCAGGTTAGGGAACTGAGGCTAGTCACTGGTTAGGACTTTTTTGAAGCCGGAACCCTTGCTCTTCAAATTCCGGGCCCTGTGGGCATTGGATTCAAATTCCTGCTGCACCGTTTATTACCATCTGTTTTTGGAAAGGTTACGGTTCCTCCTGAGCCTCAGTTTTCCTCCTCTGCCAAGTGGGATTCTCCTTCCTCCCTCACGGGACTGTCGTCACATCGTATGTGGAGACCGCTCGGTCCTGGGCGGACTTGGCACAAGAGGAAATGCCAGCGAATAGCCTTCTCTGAGGCAGGGCCTGCTCCTGTCCCGCATCTCTGTTCAGAGGAGCTGTTCCACGGCACAGAAAGCGTGAACGGCAGGAGGGAGGGAGTGGAAGATGCACCGGCGCGTCCCTTCACCTAGTGTTTCTTGAGCATTTGTCTGTGCCAGGCATGTCCTGAGCACTGGGGCTGTCACATCTTGGTGGACAGAACAGACAGAGAGGGCCCCGTGTCTGGAGCCGCATCGAGCTGGGGAGGCAGACGGTTATCAGCTCAGTCAAGGCCGCTGTATGTCAGCGAGAGCTGAGCGCTGTGGAGGGCACCCCGGCAGCCGAGGGGCTGGGGGGCGCTTGGTGAGGTTTACCTAGGGTAGGCAGGCAAGGCCTCACTGGGTGGTGACACGGAAAGAAAGGCCTGAAAGAGGCCAGAAAAGTTATTGGGAAAGGACATTCTGAGTAGAGGGCACAGCTTGGACAGAGGCCCAGACGCAGGACAGCACCCAGGCCGTGCGGCCAGAGCCATTATTGAGCGGACGGGTGGTAGATGAGCTCTGAGAATAACTGGGAGGGGCCAGGTCATGGAGAATCTGGAAGGCCATGGAAAAGGCTTTTAGAACCTCTCTCCAACCACAGAACCCAGAAATGGTTTGGTTATTTTTGAAATTCTCCCAAGACAGAAGTGCTATAGGTAGCTGGGGGGGAAGTGAACTCCCTACGTACGGTGGCTGCCTAAGGCCTTCAGGGCTGGGTCCTCTCTGGACCCTGGTCGAGAAGGGCGGCCGTGGTGCTCAGAGTGGGAGCGGCAGGTGCTGCCTGCCACTTGCACAGCATCTCTCTCAACCGCGTGGAGAACAGACTCGGGCAGTGGCAGCCTGGCAGCCGGTGAGGCCATGGCAGGGTTGGTGGCAGCTGGGACCAGGGGGATTGGAGTTAGGGGTGGGGGTGTGAAGAGGTGAGGCTCTGGGTATTGGTGAAAGAGTGGATGTGAGTTGTGAGGGGGAAAGGAGCAAAGATGGGCAGCTGGCGAGATGGGGTAGTCATGCCCGTGTCCAGGAAATACTTCCAGCCGCCTCCTGTGTGCACTGCTCTGTGCTCCGGGGCTGGGACGTGAACCAAATAGACAAAGGTCCCTTCCTTGGGGGAGCTGATACTCTGAATCGATTTCTTGCCTTAGGCCTGACATGGTAAAGATGGTGACAGGGTTAGACAGATAGACAACAGTTCTCTGGAAGGCAGGACGGCCCCCTGCCAAAGAGGGGTCACTGGGGCTCCGTGGAGCTCCCCATGGCCGCCGCACAGGCAGCCCTTCTTCCCAGGCGTTTCATGACCTGGTGTCCGTCCATTGCCCCAGTGAGGGAGCTCCTCTCCGAGGAGGCTCGGGCCATGTCTCACGGCCATCTCGGGGTACCAGGGTGGGGAGGAGGTCTGCCAGCGGCCGGTTGCCTTCTCCCAACCCCCACCGTCTCCCCTGGCAGCGGCTGATTGACAAGACCAAGGTGACATATCTGAAGTGGCTTCCTGAGTCAGAGAGCCTGTTCCTGGCATCACACGCCAGCGGCCACCTGTACCTGTACAACGTCAGCCACCCGTGCGCCTCGGCCCCGCCCCAGTACAGCCTGCTCAAGCAGGGCGAGGGCTTCGCCGTCTACGCCGCCAAGAGCAAGGCGCCCCGCAACCCACTGGCCAAGTGGGCGGTGGGCGAGGGGCCTCTCAACGAGTTTGCCTTCTCGCCCGACGGCCGGCACCTGGCCTGTGTCAGCCAGGACGGCTGCCTGCGCGTCTTCCACTTCGACTCCATGCTCCTCCGTGGGCTCATGAAGAGCTACTTTGGGGGCCTGCTCTGCGTGTGCTGGAGCCCTGACGGGCGCTACGTTGTGACGGGGGGTGAGGATGACCTGGTCACCGTGTGGTCCTTCACCGAGGGCCGTGTGGTGGCCCGGGGCCACGGCCACAAGTCCTGGGTCAACGCGGTGGCCTTTGACCCCTACACCACGAGGGCCGAGGAGGTGGCCGCAGCCAGTGGTGACGGGGAACGGAGTGGCGAGGAGGAGGAGGAGCCTGAGGCCGGGGGCACAGGCTCCGGTGGGGGAGCCCCGCTGTCCCCGCTGCCCAAGGCGGGCTCCATCACCTACCGCTTTGGCTCAGCCGGCCAGGACACGCAGTTCTGCCTGTGGGACCTCACTGAAGACGTGCTTTACCCCCACCCGCCCCTGGCCCGCACCCGCACCCTCCCCGGCACGCCTGGCACCACGCCGCCCGCTGCCAGCAGCTCTCGGGGTGCTGAGCCAGGCCCTGGGCCCCTGCCCCGCTCGCTGTCCCGCTCCAACAGCCTGCCGCACCCAGCAGGCAGCGGCAAGGCAGGTGGCCCGGGCGCAGCGACAGAGCCGGGCACACCATTCAGCATCGGCCGCTTTGCCACGCTCACGCTGCAGGAGCGGCGGGACCGGGGGGCCGAGAAGGAGCACAAGCGCTACCACAGCCTGGGCAACATCAGCAGGGGCGGCAGTGGGGGCGGGGGCGGCGGGGACAAGCCCAGCGGCCCCGCCCCCCGCAGCCGGCTGGACCCAGCCAAGGTGCTGGGCACCGCGCTGTGCCCGCGCATCCACGAGGTGCCGCTGCTCGAGCCCCTGGTGTGCAAGAAGATCGCCCAGGAGCGGCTCACTGTCCTCCTCTTCCTGGAGGACTGCATCATCACCGCCTGCCAGGAGGGCCTCATTTGCACCTGGGCCCGGCCGGGCAAGGCGGTGAGTCACCCCCAGACTCCCCAGACCCCCGGATGAGCGGGCATTGGCAGAGGGTTTGTCACTGTCGCAGCTTCCAGCCCTGTGGGATGAGGGAAGCCATGGAAATCGTAGTGTCTCAGAACAAGACCTCTCAGATCTCAGAGTGACAGGCAGCAGAGAGAGGGTGAGGTCTAAGAGAGAGCTGGGAGTGGTGGGGACCATGGCTGGCCATCAGAAGGGCAGCCAGTGGGCCCAGCATGGTCAGGTCTTACTGCTTGTTGCTTGAAGCCAAATCTGTATCGCTGAAAAATATGCTTTCTAAATGGTGAAACTGTTTGAATACTGCGGGTCAAGCTCTGTGGGCAAGATTGAGCCTGCGGGCCCAGATTCCACCCTGGGATCTGAGCCCGCTGCTGGAGCTCGGGCTGTGGGACCCCAGGCTCAGGGTCCAGTCCTGCGCTTCTGCTTGCTGTGTGAGCTAGGGCAAGTCACTGGCCCTCTCTGACCTCCGTCACCTCTTAGGACAGGGAGGCTTGGAGATGGGTGGGGGGGTGGGTGTGCCCACCTCTTGAGGTGGCCCTGGGCTTCAGGATGGTCCCAGTAGATGTGACTTCGGAGCTGTGGTCTCAGAGGTCTCGGCTCCTCAAGGTTTGGGCTCGGGTGCCCAGGAGGCCAAGTCTGAGGGCCACGGCTTGGTTCCTCAGAAGGGCAGTTTTGGAATCGTAGGGTCCTGAACCCCTAGAACTTAGAGCACAATCTCGGAGCCTCCCAGGCAGGGGACGGGGATGTGGGGAGTCTGGCCAGCCCTGAAAAAGAGCCCTCTGTCTCCCTAGTTCACAGACGAGGAGGCCGAGGCCCAGACAGGGGAAGGAAGTTGGCCCAGGTCACCCAGCAAGTCAGTGGTAGAGGTAGGACTGTCCCTGAGTTCCTACCCCTCCCCCAGAATCTCAGGACCCCCTCAGGTCAGAAGGGGACTCCAGTTTCCCCCCTCCCCACCTCCACTCCACCCCATCCTCTCGCTCAGCATCACCGCGGACGTTAACTGTTGTATCCAAGTGCCGCCTGCTGGCACAGGGGAGCTAGCCGAGACGTCAGTTCCCAAGCCTAGAGCAGCGGCTTCTGGGGGTCAGGGGTGGACTGAAGGGCAAGGCCAGGCTGGCTCCCTCCCCGTGGGCTGGCAGGAGCCCTGGGTGTCTCTAATCCTCCTCTCTCCCCTCGTCTTCCCCAGGGCATCTCTTCCCAACCGGGCAACTCCCCGAGCGGCACAGTGGTGTGAAGCCATGGATGTCGGGGTCCCCCACCCCATGCCCTCCGCCTCCTAGCCATAACCTTCCCCGCTGACCTCATGGATCAACGTATTAACAAGACTAACCATGACGGATGGACTGCTCCAGTCCCCCACCCTGCACAAACTTGGGGGGCAGAGGGTCCCCCCGACTGGCCCACACTTGGGGGTTGTAGTGGCCTGTGTGGCCTCAGCCTTGTCTCCACCCACTGCCAAGTACCATGAGCCCTCCTCTGAGACATCAGTGTTAGCCTCATTCCCTGTCCCCAGCATGTGACTGGTCACTCCCGGGGGAGAAACTCCCCCTGCCAGAGCCCCAGCTCCATGGTGTGCCCCTCGTCCCGGGTCGAGTAGGGGCCGCCCTGCCCGCCCGCCCGTGCTGTCGTTCGTGCTTTTGAAGCGTGTTAAATTATGGAAGCCCCTCGGGGTCCCCCTGCCTCCCAGGAGCTCTTATTTATACTAAAGTTCCCTGTTTTCACAGCGTCTCTGTTCCCTTGCGCAGACGTGTGGAGGAGGTGTGTGTGTCCTCGAATCGGTCCACTGGTCCATTGTAACGCAGGGCAGAGCTGGGCCTGCCTCCCCCCCCCCCCCCCCCATTTCCCCCTGCCCCCTTTACTCGCAGCAAAAACTGCGGGCTGGAGGAGGGATGTGCGGGGCACATGGCTGGCAGACCCGCCTGACCAGCCCTGGGCAGGGCCCTTTGGACACACAAGAGCATCCTTCGGCCCCCAAGCTCTCCAGGAAAGACAGCCTCCAGGGCCCCTTGAATCCTCAGCAGGATTTTCAAAGTTGTCTCAAAGTGCCCAAACCAGCCACATCAGCTGTCACAGGGGCCTGCCCAGATGGGGTCCCCTGGCGGCTCCCGAGGTGCCCAGTGAGCTTCCTTGAGCCTAAGTCACGGCCTCCTGCTCCCTCGGACCTGGCTCAGCCCAGGCGCGGGCGTCCAGAGCCGCCTGGAGACCATGGCTTCCTCCGGGGGACTGTCCACCCCTGGAAAGAACAACGAAAATCCCTCCTGGCTGGCTCTCCGGAGCGGAGCCGCGGGGAGTGGTGTCTTCCCGCTCCGCCCTCCACCCCCCGAAATGTTTCTGTTTCTAATCCTAGCCCGGGCAGGAATGTGGCTGTGCGGCCAGGGTCCAAGGAGCTATTTTGGGGGCTCCTCTGCCTCCCCCAGGCTTTGGCCAGCAAGTCACCCCTGGTCCTGGCTCCTGAGGGCCTCCCTTCCCGTTTCTCTCACCAGCCCTTCCCCACCTCCTGCCAAAAAAAAGTCCGTGTCAAGCGGAGGGCCTGCGGGCTAAATTTAAACCATCCCGAAGTCTGAATCCGCGGCTGAGTCACACCCGCGAAGCTGCCCTGTCCTCCTGCCCCCCTTCCCAGGCCTCACCCCTTTCTCCTCCCTCCCCGCCAACTCCAGGGCTTGGGAGGGGTGTCACCGGATCATCTGAACCTCAATTGGCCCCCTCAGGGGAATGGGAGGGCTCATCTTTGGCATCTGTCACACCTGTGGCTTCGTCTATGCACCGCCTGTTTATTGAGGGGGGGCAGTGAGCGAATTGAGATTCTCCACCCACCCCCGTCTCACACCAGAGTGTGCTGGGGGCCTGGAAGGACGGAGTTGGGGGGCCTGGCTCGTGAGGGGTTAAGGCCTGGAGGCGGGAGGGGGCCGGACTGAGGGGTGGGGAGAAGGGGAGGAGGCCTCAGCAGCCCGCAAAGAGAAGTGGCCAGAGAGGCCCAGGGGACAGCCAGGGACAGGCAGACATGCGGCCAGGGCCCGGGGGCCTGGACAGGGGCTGCCAGGCCCCGTGACGGGAGGACCCCGAGCCCCTGGCCCGGGGAGGGGGCCATGGTGCTGCCTGCCCGACATGTCAGCCGAGGTGCGGCTGAGGCGGCTCCAGCAGCTGGTGCTGGACCCCGGCTTCCTGGGGCTGGAGCCCCTGCTCGACCTTCTCCTGGGCGTCCACCAGGAGCTGGGCGCCTCCGACCTGGCCCAGGACAAGTATGTGGTGGACTTCCTGCAGTGGGGTGAGTGCTGCCTGCACGGCTTCCCCAGCCTGGGGGGCAGGATGGACATGGGGACAGCCTCCCACTCAGGGCCCCAGAGCTTGGGCCTAGGTCTTGGGGGGACATGACCCTACCCCCGTGCCACCCTGGCAGGGCAGAGAGGGGTCAGCAGAGGCCAGGGCAGCCATGACTCAGAACCATGCTTGGGAGCCTGGTAGGTGGGCTGGGCATGGCCTCCCATGGTCCGCCTGCACCCCCGCCCTGAGTCGAGGCCAAGGGACATGCTGGGAGCCCCGTCTCCTAGGACCCCCCCCCGTAACCGGCCCTACAGGCCTCCATCCTGGATTCCCAGAGCACAGGGACGAGCGGGACGGACAGCATGGGGCAGCTGCCAGGGGCGCGGCCGGCGGGCAGGTGTTCGGCGCCAGCCTCTCCAGCTGCCCCAACAGGTGCCCGGGCACTGGGAGGGCGAGTGACTCAGGCCGGCCCGGGGGGAGAACCAGCCCTGCAGACGGCCGCCACCCAGCATCCCCTCCACCCTGACGCAGGAGGAGGAACTTAAGTTCTGGGTGTGCTCACTCTCTGCAGGTTCCACACCCCTCCCCCCACCTTGGTCCCTCCTGGTCTGCGTGGATCCTTGATTCTTCCAGCTCCTGGGGTCCCTTCATTCTAGTTCAGGCCCTCCACCCTTTGGCTCTCCCACAAAGTCCCTTCCTGCCAGGTCCTTCCCTGGAGGCAGCTCTGGAGGGAAGATGGTTCAACTTCAGTCTCCTGCCTTGTCTGCCCCCACCCCCTCCTAGCCTAGGACTCTCTTGGGTTTCTGTCTCTCTGACACCTGCCACTCTGTCCCTCCACCGGCCTGTCCCTCCGGGGCTTGCTCTTGGTCCTTGGGCTGTGTGTCCCTGTTTCCTGTCCCTCCGCCTTCTCCCGCTCCCCCTTTTCTGTGTCCGTCTCTTTCTGACCCGGGCCCTGCTCCTCTTCTTTCTCCTCCCATTTTGCAGATGGGAAAGTGGAGGCCAAGGGCCAGGCCACTCAGCCCCCTGGAAGCCCCTTCTGCCTCCCTCCCTGCAGCCCTTAGTAACTCTCTCTGCCCCGCTTTTGCAGAGGACGAAGTTGGGCTGGCAGGGTAAACTGAGACCTGAGGTGGGGGCAGGGGTCTGGCTCTCTGTAGGGAGCGCTCCTTTTGTGGCCCGAGCAGCATCCTGCGGCCCCTCCCCTGCCAGGCCTCCCGGGCGGGGGAGGGGGCCTGGGTTCCCGCTGCCTTAAAAGGGCTCAATGTCTTGGCTCTCTCCTCCCTCCCCCGGCCTGGGCCCTCGCTGGTTCTCCCCTGCCTGCCGGCTCTCCCCGAACCCTGTGGGGCCCCTCTCGCCCCTTCATAGCCCGCTGTATCTCCCCTCATTCCTCTCACACCCATCCCTCTCCCCGTCCTGCCTCCCAAGTCCCCAGCTCCTTCCACTCCTGGGAGTCCAGGCCTCTCTCTCTCCACTCTCTCTCTACGTCCCTGAGTCTCGTGTCTCCACCCCCAGCCTGCCTCCTCCCTAGCTGCCCTCTCTAACATTCCTGGCCGGAGGACCTTGGGCAAATGCCTCCATCTGTCTGAGCCTGGATTCTGCCGTGTAAATATGGGGCAATAGTAAAGCCCTCCCCCTGGAGTTGAGAGCACAAGATAGCACGCTTGAACCTGGACCGAGCCTGCAGCACTGGAGCCCGGGGTTCGGGTCCAGGCTGGCTGTGGCTCCCTCCTCAGGTCCTTCTCCTGGCCCCAACCCCAAATCCAGTGTTTCCCAAAGTGTGGTCAGGAGCCATCTGCATCTGAACCTAGAGGTGCTGGGTTAAACTGCACGTCTGGGCCACAACCCAGGACGGACTGAAGGAGAGCCCGGGGGTGGGCCAGGCCACAACCCAGGACCGACTGAAGGAGAGCCTGGGGGTGGGCCGGGTCGGCACTCACTGTCACCTGGAGTTGGGGGCGGGGGGTGGCCTGAGGCCCAAGGAGCTCTAAGAACGGGGACTTATTTCTTCTGATCTTCAGGGCTTCCCTTCTGCAGACTTGTTACCCCACCCTCTCCATGCTGCAGCCACTAGAGCCCTTTGACCTAATGCCCTGTCCCAAAAAGGGGTTCCCAGGCATACCATCTCTGTAGGGGGCAGTTTGGGGTCCCCAAGACCTCACACAGTGTTTATGTGGGGGAGCCCTTGAGAGGCAGACCGTCCTGAGGGGAGGGGCAGAGAGATGAGGAGACAGACTGAGGAGCAAGAGTCAGAGAGGGGAGAGAACGAGGGGCAGGGAGAGGGAGGCTGAGGGACAGAGGGTGGGCCTTCCTCCTCGTCTCCAGTGTCAGTCCCAATGACCCTCGGTTGTCACCTGCCCCCGCCCCGCAGTGGAACCCATCGCGGCGAGGCTTAAGGAGGCCCGACTGCAGAGGGATGACTTCGAGATTCTGAAGGTGATCGGACGCGGCGCGTTCAGCGAGGTGAGCCTTGAGCAGCGGCGGCAGCTCCACGGGGCGGGAGGCGCGACTGTCCGTGCGGTGGGCGGGACATAGGAGGTCCAGGCGGGGCCTTAGAAATTGATGAATGACTGAGTTTAGAACGCCCGAGACCGGCGGGGCGGGGGCGGAGCTTGGGGCGGGGGGCGGGGTTAGAGGTGGAGTCCATGCTGAGCGAGCCCGGGTGTCCCCCCCGCCCCCGCCACCTCCACCCCGGTCACCCCGTCTCGGCCTTTAGGTGGCGGTGGTGAAGATGAAGCAGACGGGCCAGGTGTTCGCCATGAAGATCATGAATAAGTGGGACATGCTGAAGCGAGGCGAGGTGAGGGCCGGGGCCGGGCGCGCAGGGCGCGGGGCATTCCCGCCCCCAGCGCCGCTTCAGGTCCCCGGTGCCCCACAGGTGTCGTGCTTCCGCGAAGAGAGGGATGTGTTGGTGAACGGGGACCGGCGCTGGATCACGCAGCTGCACTTCGCCTTCCAGGACGAGAACTACTTGGTGAGCCCCAAGCCCGGGCGACTGGAGGGCCGGACCCCCAGCCCCGACCGACGCTGTCAATTAACGAGGCGGGGGCGGGGAGAGGAGTTCAGGGTGGCGGAGCTGCCTGGGAATGCCTGCGGGAGTCTGTGTGTGGAACCGGCCTTCCTTTTCCGCGCTGGGAGACGTCCCTTTCCGCGGACGCTGGGGGACTCTGTAAGGACGCCGCCCGCCGCAGTCGGAGGACTCTCTTACCTGGAGTGGGATTGCTCTCTACAGCCCGTGTGGGGGCCTCTGGGCCGGGGTGTCTGAGCCCTGGGCTCTGGCATTGGGAGGCCCCTGGGTTCCCTTTTCCCCTGGGGGAGCGAATCTCTGTCCAGTGACATCCTGGGAGAATTAGGGGCTTTTTTTGCGAGGGGGTGTCGGATTTGGCCCAGGAGATCCCGGGCTCTCCTGGGGCTGGGCCTGCGGGGTCTCTGCCCAAGGATGGGAAGACTCTGGGAGTCTTTATCCGGGCTATCAGCGGTCAGTGCCTATTGGGGCTACCGACCCCCATGACACGCCCCCTCCCAGTACCTGGTCATGGAGTACTACGTGGGCGGGGACCTGCTAACGCTGCTGAGCAAGTTTGGGGAGCGGATCCCGGCCGAGATGGCGCGCTTCTACCTGGCTGAGATTGTCATGGCCATAGACTCGGTGCATCGGCTGGGCTACGTGCACAGGTGGGCGCTGCAGGGCTGAGGGGCGGGGCCCGGACAGGGAGAGCTACGGTGGTACCCCGGAAGGTCCGAGCCCACTGGGGGCGGGGCCGGAGGAGTGGGGCCCAGAATTGTCGAATCCCCGAAGGGGCGGAGCTAGAGGGGGTGGGGCCGGAAGGCGGGGCCTGGAGGGCGCTTCCCTAAGAGGATGGGGCCGGAGGCTGTGCAGCCTAGACGGGTGGGGCCTGGTGAGACGGTGGGAGGGGGCTCACCCATCCCTCTTCCCCTCCCTTCTTCCCTCTGTGCAGGGACATCAAGCCGGACAACATCCTGCTGGACCGCTGTGGCCACATCCGCTTGGCCGACTTCGGCTCCTGCCTCAAGTTGAGGGCGGACGGAACGGTGAGCGGTGCGCCCGCCCTGGGCAACTCGGGCCGTGAGGGGTGGGGTCCCCCCTGAGGGGTGCGCTCGGCAGAGTGTGGGGGCGGGGCTGAGGCGCGAGCGGACCTAGGGTGGGGGCAGGGCAAGCTTTGGAGGAGGAAGGAGGAGGCCACCCGGTTCTATACTGGAGTGTGGGAGGGGCTAAACGCTGGGGGCGTGGTTGGGGGGTGGAGCCCGAGCCCCAAGGGGCGGGGCCGAGTCCCGCTCTGGTCCTGCTGCTCAGGTGCGGTCGCTGGTGGCTGTGGGCACCCCGGACTACTTGTCCCCCGAGATCCTGCAGGCCGTGGGCGGCGGGCCCGGGACGGGCAGCTACGGACCCGAGTGTGACTGGTGGGCGCTGGGCGTGTTCGCCTATGAAATGTTCTACGGGCAGACGCCCTTCTACGCCGAGTCCACGGCCGAGACCTACGGCAAGATCGTGCACTACAAGGTGAGCAGGGCCCGAGGCGCCGCTGACCTCTCCGCACAGGCTCCCGGGCTCACACCGCCGCTTTGCGTCTCCCTCCGAGCAGGAGCACCTGTCTCTACCGGTGGCAGACGCGGGGGTCCCTGAGGAGGCTCGCGACCTCATCCAGCGGCTGCTGTGTCCCCCGGAGACGCGGCTGGGCCGGGAAGGAGCAGGCGATTTCCAGAAACATCCGTTCTTCTTTGGCCTCGACTGGGAAGGTCTCCGAGACAGCATGCCCCCCTTTACGCCTGATTTCGAGGGTGCCACTGACACGTGCAACTTCGATGTGGTGGAAGATGGGCTCACTGCCATGGTGAGCGGGGGCGGGGTAGGTACCTGCGACGGCTGCTCGGCACAGGGTGCCCCCATCCTTCCTGCATAAAGTTGGGGTTAGGCGAGTGCCCCCCTCCTGGGCTCCTGAAACCCTTCGTTTCCGGAGCACCTGCTCTGTGCCTGCCCGGTGCTGGGAACTCTGCGGTGATCTAGACTCGCAGGCCCGTGGGGGACACAGACTTGTTCCTGGAGAGATCAGGGCTGAGATGGGGGACTGCGAGGGGGCGGGGCTCCTGACCCGGCATGGAAGGTCCTGAGGCGCTTGGGCGGGGGCGTGGGCGCTGTCTGAGCTGAGACCTGACAGGAGCAGCGAGAGGCAGGAGAGCACACGGGGAATCTCCCTCCCTCGGGCATCTCTCGTCTGTGGGCCGAGCTCTCCCGGAGCGGAGCGCGTGCTCAGCCTGGGGGCCCTTGTGCTGGGCACTGCGTGGGACACAGGGACCAAGTCAGCCCTGGTCCCTCACCCGCTTCCAGTCTGGAGAAGTGTAGCATTACACAGTGGCGAGCCCCTGAGGGAAGCAGCAGCATACATAAAAGAAAGTGATGGCCGGCCACTTTAGATAGGCCCCGAGCTGGGTGGGGGCGGGGGGGACATTTAAACCAAGACTGGGAAGGGGCGCCAGCCCTGACAACCGGGGCTCCCCTCACACCCTTCCTCGTGTGTAGGAGACGCTGTCAGACATACAGGAAGGCGTGCCCCTGGGCGTCCACCTGCCTTTCGTGGGCTACTCATACTCCTGCATGGCCCTCAGGTAAGCGCTGTCCCCGAGCAGCCCGTGAGGAGTGGGCTGGGGGTACCGGCCCCTGGAAGGCCGCTGGGGGTGACCGCACCCTGGCCCACGGGCAGCCAGCAGAATGGCAGGCTCAGTTGTGGAACATTATTGCTGTGGGACTGAGGGCTCTTAGGAGCTCAGAGGTGGAGGACCTTAAAATCTCAGACCATAAATACTTCGAAATTTTAGATTCAATTGTAAAACCTCAGAGCCACAGACTTGGCCTTCCAGAATCTTCCAACCTTCCACTTTTAGATTTCTAGTACACAGAGTCATGGGACCTCAAAATCTTAGAAAATAAGAAGTTTAGAAATTTTAAACTTAAAATTTAAAAGAACACAAACTCTTAAAAGAACACAAACTCATTGAGTCACTCACATAACTGTAAGCCTTTTAAAAACATTAATTATACAAATAATCCATTGCTTGTGTCGGTAAGGAAGGGGCGTCCCGCCAGCAGCGACGGCCCCTGGCTCACACACATTTCCAACAGCCGAGAGCAGGTGCTGTGTTCCAGTCTGGTTTGTTGCTGGCTGATGGATTGCAAACGATGTTTCTTCTCATGAATGAACTGTGACATGATCCTGACCCGCTGTGTAGCGTTCTCCTTCCTGGGCGGGTCAGGATTCAGTTAACCGGCCTCTGTCACAACCCAGGCTGGACAGACAGCTGCGGCTTGGTCTCGGCACACGTACAGACCGTGAGGTCCTCAAGACCTCTTTCCAGGAGTGGGGTTGCTGGGTTGGAGGGGACATCCACTTTTCTCGCAATTCCATATTCCTCGGGAGGGTCTGTCCCCTCTCAGCAGCTGGGTCTGAGGGGATGTCTAGCATCACAGCCTTGGGATCCCACACCCAGTCTTAAGACTACATCTCTGGGGGTGACCAGAGTTGGGTGGGGTCCCCTTCACTGTCCTGAGGCCCTGAGGAGAAGGGTCTGCAAAAGTCACGTGGACGGGGAGATGAGCAGACCCTAGCCCATGAGTGTCTGGGCCCCAATTCCCGCAGAAGCTGCAGAGACGGCGGCTCCCAGGGGCCCGAGGCATGCGAGGGGAGGGCCTTTCCCTAACGAGGAGGACCTGTCACACAAGCCTGGCAATTTGTCCCCTTTACTCTGCCCCCTCCCCCTCCTCAAACCATGGGATCTTGGGTCTGGCCACCCCACGCCCACAGGCTAGGGCATCCTGGCTAACCGCAGGGATGGGCAGCCTCGGGCTGGGGCCAGCTCTCCCTCCCCTGGCCGGTTCCTCTCCCCAGGGACGATGAGGTCCCGGGCCCCACACCCATGGAACTGGAGGCTGAGCTGTTGCCTGAGCCACCTGTGCAAGTGCCCAGCCTGGAGCCCACAGTGCCCCCACTGGAGAAAACAGTGAGTCGTTGGAGGCGAGGGCCAGGCAGGGGCGGGTCTGAGGCCAGGGCGTCCTGGGCGGTGGGTGCCCTGGAGTGCTAAGGCCTCTGGGAGCTCACTTGACAGAAAGAGATGGAAAACCCAGTGGAGACAAGGGGACTTGAGTCAGAGATGATCATAGGGCACCGAGTGTGTGTGGAGGGGGGCTCTCTGGGGAGAGGGAGCTCTGGAGAAGGACCCCCTGAGGGAACAAGAGTGCTCATGGGTCGGCAGAGGGGACCGCAGGGACAAAGGCCCTGAGGTAGGAACTAGCTAGTTAGTCCTTGAGCAGAAAGGAGGGTCGTAAAGCTGAACTGTTCTAGGACAAGGGGGTAGGGAGCGAGGGGAGGGGAGGCCGGGGAGGCCAGCAGGAAACAAACCTAAAGACTAAAGGCTGGAATACAGGATAGGGGCTGGGGTTATGGACGGAGGGCGTTTGGATCACCACAGGGGCTGTGAGGATTCCAGAAAGATCTAGGGGACGGGGAGTAGAAGACAAGGGAGGATCCCAGGCCTGGAACCCATGCTCAAGTCTCCAGGCTCCAAGAGCCACAGGCAGCCCAGCCCTAAACCCGGTCCCCATCCACAGGCTGAAGCGGCAGGTCCAGAGGCCGTTCCCGCGGTGGCAGAGGCGGAGATGACGCTGCGGGAGCTCCAGGAGGCCCTGGAGGAGGAGGTGCTGACCCGGCAGAGCCTGAGCCGGGAGCTGGAGGCCATCCGCACGGCCAACCAGAGCTTCGCCAGGTCAGGCTCGGCTCGGCCCGGCCCGGTCGCTGCCTGTCGCAGCCTCTCTCCCCGAGGTCCCAGGGCTCACGGTCCTTCCCTCCCCGCAGTCAGCTCCGCGAGGCCGAGGCCCGGAACCGGGACCTGGAGGCGCAAGTCCGGCTGCTGCAGGAGCAGATGGAGCAGCTGCAGGCAGAGGGAGCTGCAGGCGAGTCCCTGAGCCGCCCCCGTTCCCGAGGGCGCCGGGGGAGGTGGGCCCGCGGCGGCGCGTGTGGACACCTGGGGGAGGGCGAGGGGCCCAGGCTGGGGCACGCCGCGCCACCGCCCTCCTCGTCCCTCCACGCGCCCTACGCCTCTCTCTTCTCCTTCCAGCTGTCACGGGGGTCCCCAGTCCCCGGGCCACGGATCCACCTTCCCATGTAAGACCCCTCTTTGTCCCCTGCGTCAAGCCTGCTGCCCCCTCTGCAAACCCTGTCCCCGTCTCCCCGTCCAGACTTGGGGCTCACCTTACCTCTTCGGGGTTCCAGGCGGCAGACACCCTCCAGTTAGCCGCACATCTACCGGCTCTCCCCGGTTCAGGCCTCTCGCCACATCCCGGCCGGGATCTCCCTAGAGTCCCTCCCAGACCTCGACGCCCCTTGCTCTCTCTCGCCCCCCGCCGACGGCGGCCGGGCCGGGCTGGGCTCCGATCGGGTCACCTGTCCCTTCTCTCTCCAGCTAGATGGCCCCCCGGCCGTGGCTCTGGGCCAGTGCCCGCTGGTGGGGCCAGACCCCATGCACCGCCGCCACCTGCTGCTCCCTGCCAGGGTACGTCCGGCTGCTCACGCCCGCCGCCTCCGCGCCCCCGCCTCGCTCCACGCTCGCCGAGCCGCCTCTGCTTAGCTGCGCCTCTGCGGGGCTGGGCCCGCCGCGGGGGGAGGATGCTCGGGCAGCCAATCAACACAGGCCGCTAGGAAGCAGCCAATGACGAGCTCGGACAAGACTTGAGGCCTACGAGCCGACCAATTGCAGCTGCCCGCGCTGTCGGGGGGGCGGGGCGGAGCGAGGGGAGCATTGTAGACCCACCCACAGACGTGGGCGGGGCGAGCCCCGGGAGCCAATCAGGGGTCGGCGTCGCAGTGCTGATCCCGCCCTCTCCCCCGCAGGTCCCTAGGCCTGGCCTATCGGAGGCGCGTTCCCTGCTCCTGTTCGCCGCTGCTCTGGCTGGTGCCGCCGCCCTGGGCTGCGCTGGGTTGGTGGCCTGCGCCGGCCACCTCGCCCCTGTCTGGCGCCGCTCGGGAGCCGCCTTCGCCCCCTGAACCCTAGAGCCCCAGCCTGTCCTCCACTCGGGCCCCGCTGGAGGGTTGGGTGACCCGGGAACGGCCCAGAAGCCACTCCCACCGCCCCGGTTGACACCACCCCAAGCGTGGGTCTCCGCCCAGCTCCAGCCCTGTGATCCGGGCCCGCCCCCTGGCGGCCGGGGAGGGAGGAGCCGGCCCGCGGCCGGAGCACGGGGCGCCTGGGAGGGTGGGAGCCGGGAGTGCTGCTGCTGCCGCTGCCGCTGCCGCTGCCGCTGCTGCTGGGGGGGATCGCGGACCACTTCCTTCCTCCGGCCCGGCGGAGGCCCCGACGCAGCCGGACACACTGCGACCTCGAGAAGGCAGCAGGGCCAGGGCGCGGCCATCCGTTTTTCACCCTCCACGCACCCCCACCCACAGTGGCTCGCAAACCACAGATCCCCCTGTGCATGAGGCCCCGGCCTCCCGGGAACGTCCTCCTCCCGTAGCGAAGGTCCAGCGCGCGCTCCGCCCGCTCTCCCGGGAACCTCTCGCTTCTGCCAGCCCCACTTTTTCGGGGACTCCGCGCCCTCCTCCTCACGTGCGCCGCTCTCGGAGCTACACCGGCTCCTCCCGCCTCGGCGTTTGGGTATTTATTGACCTGTCCTCCGACCCGCTGACAGGCTCCAGGACCCCAGCACCCTGATCCACGTTTTGGATGCACTGAGACCCCGACATTCCTCGGTATTTATTGTCTCTCCCCACGTAGGACCCCACCCCCGATCCTCGCGAATAAAAGGCCCTCTCGTCTGTCCCAGCTTGGCGCTCCGCCGTGTCCGCTCTGTTTGCTCTGCGGCGGAGGCTGCTCAACCGGCCAATCGAGGGCGCCCGGAGGCGGCCAATGGCCGAGCAGGGAGCTAGCGGGACGCGAAGTGGGTGAATCAGGGCTGGGGGCGGAGACTGAGGGGCGTGGCTTCGGCGTCCGGCCAATAGGAGAAGGCGAGTGGGCCACCCGGAGGCACCGCCCCTCGTCCAGCTGTGGCCCAGCTGTGTCACTCGATCGCGGGGAAGAAGGGGGCTGGGCCGCCGGCGCGCGCGGCCATCCTCCTACCACTGCGCCTGCGCGGGCCACGCGCATCCGTTCCAGGGACTTACGCTCAAGAAAAGTTGCTGTAAACTTTCTGGCCTGTTCCCCCGCCCCCTCTCCCTGCCAGACCCGCCCCCCTGCGGAGCCGGGAATTCCGAGGGGCGGAGCGCAGGCCGAGATGGGGAGTGGGGGGGCCTACAGAGGACCCTGGAGACGGAGGCGTGCAGAAGCTCAGTCTCGGGGCGGAGGTGGCTTCGCGCCCTTAGCCCTCCCGGACGGCCCGTTACCTTCTCCATTGTCCCGATGGGGAAACTGAGGCCCTGAGCCAGAGGCACACGCCGGGGTTGGCAAAAAGCGCGGCCTGAGGCGGAGGGAAAACAAAGAGAGAATCACGGACAGACGGGGAGGGGGCCGGGCACACACAGACACTGAGACAGAGACCCTAGTGGAGAGCTGCGTCTTGGCATCTAGGGGCGGGAGACGCGGGATCGGCCGCGGGAGAAGCTCGGGAAGTGCGAGGGGGGGCGGAGACGGGGGCCGGGCGGGGGAGAGGGCTGGGGAAAGCCCGAGGGAGGAGGAGAAGGAGGCAGGAACTTCCCAAAGTTGCAAAACATGGCTACCTTGCCTGCGGAGCCGAGCGCGGGGCCGGCGGCTGGGGGGGAGGCGGTGGCGGCGGCGGCGACCGAAGAGGAGGAGGAGGAAGCGCGCCAGCTCCTGCAGACTTTGCAGGCGGCCGAGGGTGAGGCGGCGGCGGCGGCCGGGGCCGGGGCGGGCGAAGCGGCGGCGGGAGCGGAGGGCCCGGGGTCCCCGGGCGTCCCCGGGTCGCCCCCCGAGGCCGCTGCCGAGCCGTCCACGGGCCTCCGCTTCTCGCCCGAGCAGGTGGCGTGCGTGTGCGAGGCGCTGCTCCAGGCGGGCCACGCCGGCCGCTTGAGCCGCTTCCTGGGCGCACTGCCCCCGGCCGAGCGCCTACGTGGCAGCGATCCGGTGCTGCGCGCTCGGGCCCTGGTGGCCTTCCAGCGGGGCGAGTACGCCGAGCTCTACCGGCTGCTGGAGAGCCGCCCCTTCCCCGCCGCCCACCACGCCTTCCTGCAGGACCTCTACCTGCGCGCGCGCTACCACGAGGCCGAGCGGGCCCGCGGCCGCGCGCTGGGCGCAGTGGACAAGTACCGTCTGCGTAAGAAGTTCCCGCTGCCCAAGACCATCTGGGACGGCGAGGAGACCGTCTACTGCTTCAAGGAGCGCTCCCGCGCCGCGCTCAAGGCCTGCTATCGCGGCAACCGCTACCCCACGCCGGACGAGAAGCGCCGCCTGGCCACGCTCACCGGCCTCTCGCTCACGCAGGTCAGCAACTGGTTCAAGAACCGGCGACAGCGCGACCGGACCGGGGGCGGCGGCGGCGCGCCCTGCAAGAGGTGAGGGGCCCCAGGCCCTGCTCTCCGCCAGCCCCCCTCTCCCCCGTCCCCACTGCTGGAGTCAGCGCGCCCCACCACTCGGGCGCCTCCCGCTCGCCCCCTCGGGCGCCCGGAGCGCAGGGGACCCGCGTGGGTGGGACGGGCACACGCCCCGGGCCCTCTCCCTGACATCCCTGCTGCTCTCCGAGGCTGCGAGACTTTTCCCTCTGCTCCGCTCCAGGCTCCATCCCAGATCCCGTCCGTGTTCGTGGCTGGACGGGGGGAGGGAGGCAGCGAGGACACGAGGGGCTGCGGGAGCGGGGGAGGGGCCTTGGACCACTGCACCCGGCGGAGGGGCGTCTTTCGGGCCCTTCCCTGACCGTTACTCTCCTCGCACGCACCCCCACCCCCCCCTCAGGGCCCGGACAGCGTGGTCCGTCGTCTGTCTTTGTTGTGAAACGTGAACCTTCCCCAGCTCCGGTTTCCCTGTAACCCAAGCCCTTCCCCTCCCACCCGCGCGCCGGCCTCTCCCTGCGCTCGGGGCCGCGAGGCGGGGCTCGGGGTCTGAGCGGTGTCGCCTCCTCGCTCTCCCAAGGCGCCGGCCGCTCCAGCCTGGCCCGGGACACTTAGGGCAGCCTGGGTGCTGGGCTCTGGGGCCCGGAGGCCGAGGGGCCGCGAGCAGGGCCTCCTCCCCCCCGCTGCGGCCAGCTTGAGCCTTTATGCGCGCTGTCAATGCGGGGCTTGCAGCGGCTGTGTCCCTGGGGTCCTCGGGTGGTCGCAGACGGGAGGTTTCCTAACTCTGGAGACTGTCCACGCCCCCTGGGCCGCGGAAGGGCGGGGGCGGCGGTCAGCGGTGCCCCTGTAGAGCGGCTGGCAGCGGGTCGGGGAATGCAGCGTTCAGGACCCCAGCTCACACTCCTTTCTCCGGCCAGCGAGTCTGATGGGAACCCCACCACCGAGGACGAGTCCAGCCGCAGTCCCGAGGACTTGGAGAGGGGGGTGGCTCCCGCGGCCACCGAGGCCCAGGCCCAGGGCTCCATCTTCCTGGCTGGGGCCGCCTCTGCTGCACCGTGCCCGGCCTCCTCCTCCATCCTGGTGAACGGGAGCTTCCTGGCCGCCGGCAGCTCCCCGGCCGTGCTCCTCAACGGGAGCCCGGTCATCATCAACAGCCTGGCCCTGGGCGAGGCCTCCAGCCTGGGGCCCCTGCTGCTCACGGGGGGCGGCGGCGCCCCGCCACCACAGCCCGGTCCTCAGGGGCCCGGCGAAGGCAAGACCTCCCTGGTCCTGGACCCTCAGACCGGAGAGGTTCGACTGGAGGAGGCTCAGCCTGAGGCCCCCGACACCAAGGGGGCCCAGGTGGCTGCTTCGGCACCAGCTGGAGAGGAGGTCCCTGGGCCTCTGTCCCAAGTGGTGCCTGGACCTCCGCCGGCCGCCAGCTTTCCTCTGGCCCCGGGACCAGTGCCCTCCGTGGCTGCTCCACAAGTGGTGCCCCTTTCCCCGCCCCCTGGGTACCCTGCGGGCCTGAGCCCCACCTCCCCACTGTTGAACCTGCCCCAGGTGGTGCCCACCTCACAGGTGGTGACCCTGCCCCAGGCTGTGGGGCCCCTGCAGCTCTTGGCAGCCGGGCCAGGCAGCCCCGTGAAGGTGGCAGCTGCAGCAGGCCCTGCCAACGTGCACCTGATCAACTCCGGGGTGGGCGTGACTGCCCTCCAGCTGCCTTCGGCCACCGCCCCAGGTACCCGCTTCTGCCTCCCTCCGGCCAGGGTGAGGGCTGCGTGGGTACAGTTATCTCGGAGGGAGGGCACTGTCCGTGGGCTTCTGGGGTGGCAGCTCATCCCTGGCGTGTCCCAGACCCCCCATGTGCCAGGCCCAGTGCCCCGAGGCTCAAGCTGCGTAGACATGGCCCCGCCAGCAGCTCATCTGACCCCGCGCCCGCTGCCCATCTCCTCTCCCACAGGCAACTTCCTCCTGGCCAATCCGGTGTCCGGCAGCCCCATCGTGACCGGGGTGGCCGTGCAGCAGGGCAAGATCATCCTCACGGCCACCTTCCCCACCAGCATGCTGGTCTCCCAGGTCCTGCCGCCCGCCCCCAGCCTCGCCCTGCCCCTGAAGCCGGACGCGGCCATCTCAGTGCCCGAAGGAGCCCTCCCGGTGGCCCCCAGCCCCGCTCTCCCGGAGGCCCACGCCCTCGGCCCGCTTTCCGCACAGCAGCCGCCGCAGCCGCCCCCCGCCGCCGCCACTGCCGCCGCCAGCCTGCCCTTCTCCCCAGACTCCTCGGGCCTCCTGCCGGCTTTCCCGGCGCCCCCGCCCGAGGGGCTCATGCTGTCGCCTGCGGCCGTGCCAATCTGGCCGGCGGGGCTGGAACTGAGCACAGGCACGGAGGGGCTGCTGGAAGCGGAGAAGGGGCTGGCGACGCAGGCCCCCCACACCGTTCTGCGGCTGCCAGACCCCGACCCCGAGGGCCTGCTCCTGGGGGCCACAGCGGGTGGCGAGGTGGAGGAGGGGCTCGAGGCCGAGACCAAGGTCCTGACCCAGCTGCAGTCGGTGCCTGTGGAGGAGCCCTTGGAACTGTGACCGGGGCCTCACCGCCCAGCCTGACAATGGTGCTTGCGATCCGCACGCCCGGCGTGGGGGCCTCAAACACAAGCGCTGCCGTCGGAAGGGCCACACACTACAGCCCCCAGCCGGGCACCTCCCCAGGCCCCGGGGGCGCCGGGACTCAGCCCCACCCCGTCTGGGGGCGCCGTCCCTCTGAACGGGAGGCCTCCTGTTATAGCCCTCCGGCTCTGCCCCCGTCTGTGGGGACATTCGGGGACCCTGACTCCGGGGCTCGGCCCCCATGACCTGGTACTAGCTGTGAGCTGCAAGCCCTGCCAAGTGGCTGGATCTGCACCCCTCGGGCCCTCTCCTGTCACTCCCTGCGACACTATGAATAGCTCCGCTGACGCCCGTCCTCAGAACCGCCTGGAATCCGAGGAGGGAGGAGGGGCGGCCCGCACCCAGACCCCAGCCCCTCCCGGGGGGCCGTCCCTGCGGAACGGATGCGGGTGGGGAGGCCTGGGGAGTGTCCCCGTTATCACGTCCAGCCCCAGACCAAAGACCCCCTCGCCCCGGGGCACCCCTGACCCCTGTGTCTAGTTTGTATCCTAAATCTTTATTTTTCTAGGACATGTTATGCCTCCGTTTCAATTAAAATAAAGTTAACAGACAGCTAGAGCCTTGGGGGTGTGGGTCACCTTCCCAGCCACCCGCTGGTTTCTTTCAAAGTGCAGGCCCGGGGTCTTCGGCCCCAGGGCAGACGGACCCCGCCCCCCCCCCCCACAGCCTGCCCTTGTCTCCCTCTCTGGTAACAAGAGTTCCACCTGCTTTATTTTGTTGAAACAATAAATAATCTATAAATAGAACAGGGGAGGGAGGGTGGGGTAGGGTGAGAGCAGACAAGGTTGAAACCATTTGATTCTGGGGCGGCGGCGGGCGGAGGGGGCCCTGCTCTCACCGTCACCCCCCCGCATTTCGTTCAGGGCTGCCTGCTCCCCACATGCACCCCTGCAGACGGGCTGTGAGCAGGGCAGCGACGGGTGGAGTTCAGGCACGGCTAACGCAGGAAGCATCGGGGTCGATAAATCCTCCCCCGCCTGGCCCCAGGGGACTACACAGGCCCGTGAGGCCCAGGAGAGGCCCACCTCGTCCTCCCGGGCTCCTGGTTTCCGCAAGAGCCTCCGGAGCGGCAGGGCCAGGCGGGCAGGGCTACCTCTCACTGGTGCCCGGAGGGCCGCGGGGGGCCGGCTCTGGGGACCGGCGGGCCTTCTCGGCCAGCAGCTGGTAGAAGGGCTTGGGGGTCTCCCAGTCGTCGTCCTCGCTGCTGGAGCTGTCCTGCTTCACGATGCGGTTGTGCTGGCGGCTGAACCTGCGAGCTTTGATGCTGAGGGAGAGGTGGCAGGACCGGTCCTCACTCCCGCCCCGGAGCTCGGCACCCCCAACCCTGTGCTGTGACCCCGGCAGGGATCAGGGCCTGAGTCTCCCCGTGCTGTGACCCCGGCAGTGACCAGGGCCTGGGCCCCCCTGTGCTGTGACCCCGGCAGTGACCAGGGCCTGGGCCCCCCTGTGCTGTGACCCCAGCAGTGACCAGGGCCTGGGCCGAGGCAAGGCTGGGGCTCCGTGTGGCCCCACGGGCGAACCTCAGGCCCCGAGGCCTGGTCTACGGCGCGGACTCGGCCACAGGCTCTTTGGGGCCCACACGCCTGCGAGACCCGCGCAGATGTGTGCACGCTCGTGTGTCTCCGGGGCCCACTGAGACACAGGCGGGTGGCAGCTCTGAGGCCGGACTGGAGAGGACGAGGACAGGGAGGCCGGGGGACTGGGAAATACGCCCGGTGTCCTGTTCTGAGACCCCTGCTAGGCTCCCAGGCAGAGCACCGCCCCGCCCCTGCCCCAACTCTCACAAAATTTGTGATGTCTCCCACCGCAGTGACCGCCACCGGCTTCCAGCAGCGCGAGCTCGGGCTCTGATGGGGACGGGGGGACTGAGGGGCACTGAGGGGCAGGGTCCCCCACCCCCGCCATCCCGCAGGGCCCTCTCACCAATACGGCCTGCGCTCCCGCAGCGTCATCACCCGCCAGAGTCGCGCCAGCTCCTTGGTGGCGGCCGTGGATGCGGTCCCGGGGCAGGTTCTGGGACAGGATGGGGGTGAGGCCGGGCCTGCAGGCTCCAGGAGGGCCTCCCTGCCCCTCGGCCTCAGCCTTCCCAGCTCAGCACTAGGATCTTTCCGGTCCACCTTGGCCGGGAAGGCCCCCATGGCGCACCCTCTGGAGCCGAGGAGTCGAAGAAGGGAGCTGGACTAAAGGGTCGTGGGAAAGGGACACCCATGTCCCGGGAGAGTAGAGGGGCCCTGGATCCACCTCTCCGGGTACCAGCTCCTGGGTCTTCCCGTGAGGGCATCAGCGGTCCACCACTGTAGTGTGGAGGCCTCCCCCGCCCTAGGCTTCAGGCTGGCAACCATGGTTCGGAGCTGGACACCTGATCAAAGTCAGCCCCAAGAACTCTTCTTGAAACCTTAGAAACGAGGATCTCCCCCAACAGGGTTGCTAGGGTGGGAGACAGGACACAGGCCTGAACCTCCTGGAGGGGACCCTGCACCCAACCCGGCCCTGTGTGCTTAAGAATGAAGCCAACTCGGAAGAGCAGAGCAGAGAGAGCGACAGAGACTCTGACAGCAGCATGCGAGCCCCTAGAACCAGCCATACCTGAAGGCAATCTACCCCTCCCCTTTTTTCAGGTTACACAAGCCAAATAATTCCTTTTCTTCCTAAGTCTGAGTTGGGTTGCACTGCTTACAATTGACAGGCCCTGACTGATACACGGGGCCAGGTGAGACGCTAGGGGAGAAGGTGGCAGAGGAAGGGTTGGTGGGTGATTCCCAGAAGCGGCAAATGGCCACATGCTCTCGGGGGACAGATGGACAGAGGACCCCACGCACCGGATGTACTGCTTCCGGTTCATCCTGCAGAACATGATGAAGCCGTTGACGCACTTCTTCTTCGTCTGGCCAGCGCCCAGGGCTTTCTTCTTCTCCTTGGGCTTCACGGGGCCCCTGCCCGCCCGGCCCTTCCGGGCTTTTCTCCCGGCTGGGGACAGAGTCGAGGCCCGCCGGGTGGGGGTCCACGTGTAGTCTCCGTCCTCGTCGCTGGAGGACTGCAGGCTCTGGGCCTGAGCATCCTGGGTGAGGACAGAGAGATGAAGGTGGGCAGGAGGGGCGGGCCCGCCGCATCGCTGGCGGCGTCCTCACCTCCAGCTGCACCCACGCCGCCTCGGAGTCCGTGGCCACAGAGCTGGGGCTGGACGGCACCTTGCTGTTCTCGCTCAGGGAGAGGTAGCAATGGTCCAGCGAGACGGAGGACTGGCACAGGCTGTGGGAGTCCGGGGCCTCTTTGGGGTCCTCAGAGGGCGTGTCCTGGGGGAGAAGGTGAAAGACGGGGGGACGTGAGGGAGGATGGCCGTGTCCGTTCACGCCCCGACTCCCTGCCTTCCTAGGATGTAACGTGAGCATCAGAAACGGCTGGAACTCAAGCCAACCTCGTCCAAACACCCCCTGGACATTTGAGCGAACGTTCCCAAGTTCCCACGGGGGTCAGCGAGGGCTGCCATGGGTTCGGGTCTTCTGCCTCCTGTTCTGGGGCCATCTCGCTCTGTTTTTTTGAGGAAGATTAGCCCTGAGCTAACTGCTGCCAATCCTCCTCTTTTTGCTGAGGAAGACTGGTCCTGAGCTAACGTCCGTGCCCATCTTCCTCTACTTTATACATGAGACGCCTGCCACAGCATGGCTTGACAAGCGGTGCCATGTCTGCACCTGGGATCCGAACCGGCGAACCCTGGGCCGCCGAAGTGGAATGTGCGAACTTAACCACTGTGCCACCGGGCCAGTCCCTGAGGCCATCTCTCTTAATGCCACCCGTTTAGCACCCCCTGAAGGAGCTGGGATGGCCTGGGCAGGTCTTGACTTCTCTGAGCACGAGTGTCATCCCCAGAATGCCTCGCGGGGCTGAGAAGCAGCAGGCACCCTGCCTGGCGCTCACTTCGAGCCCCACGAAGCGGGTCTGTTTTGGCTTCTGCGGCCAATTCAGCTACTCATCCAGGCAGGGGCGTCCCCCCCAACACTGGAGAAAGAGAGGTTTGGGGACCAGCGCTGGGCTGCCCTTCCGTCAGACGGACGGTGAGCTCCAGGGGCGGCTGGCGGCTCCAGGGGTCAGCCCAGGGGCCCGGGAGGGAGGCTCTTCCCAGCTGAGGATTCCCGAGGTCATCCTGCTGGTCTCAGTTTCCTCGTCTGTAAAATGGGCCACAGGAAAGCCTGCCTCGTAGAGCAGCTGGAGGACCACGTGGGTCTTTAACGGGCATCTGGCAGCTTTTAGCCTGTACCCTTTGTGTCTAGCTCATTTCAGGTGCCCAGCAGAGCTGGGGGCCTGGGGGGCCAGCAGCGAGGGGTCGAGGATGGGCGGAGGGGGGCCTAGACGGCAGACGGGTCTCTGGGAAGATGAGGGGGAGCAGCGGTGGACTCGGGGGAGCAGGTGAGCGAGGCGGCTGATGGCTGAGGGGCCGGAAGGGAATCAAGCAGGTGCACACCACGTGGAAAGGACGGCGTGTCCGCGGCAGGATGTTGGGGGGGGGGGTCGCCTACCTTCTGCGGTGCCTCGAGCGCGCAGGCAGAAGGCGACAGCGCGGGATCTGAGAAGACTTCTTCGAAGAGCACTGTGGAGGGACACCTGAGGCCTGGCCGGGCGGGAAACGCTTCCGTCCTGCCGCCCCTGCTCGCCGGAGTGCCCTTTTCTGGTTTTCGGCTTTAAGATCTCCCACCCCACGTCTGAATCCAGCTCACGGGCCAGCTCCTCGGGGCACCTCCAATCCGGGCAGAGGGAGCAGGTCCGGCGCCGGCTAGGCGGCTCCCGCACCGCGTGGCCTGGACGGATTCACCGGGTACCCAGCCACGCGCGCCGCAGGGCTGTGCCCCTGGGGGCATCAGTGTGTTTTCTGGATGACGCAGGCGAGGGCCCAGCCGCGGCCGCTCACCTTGGCTCAGGTACTCGGCGTCGTCCTCCAAGATCTGTTCTGGCAGCAGTTTCCCCGGGGAGCTGAAGAGGGAGGGGCTGAGCCCCAGGACCTCGCTCGGGTGGCCTGTCACACTCCAGCTGCCAATCTGGGGAGGCCCCAAGGCCAGTGGGCTCCCTGAAAAAGAAACATCAGGCTCGGGGGCGTGTCGGAGTTTGCCCTCCTGCCCAACACAGCAGCTGGCTCTGAGGAGATGGCTCCAGACATGCAGGAAAGGTGACTGTTGATCACTCATTTGGAGTGCTCACTCATAGAGAGTGTTAGGAGGCATGATGCCTGGCGTTACGTCAGGGATAGCAAAAATAAGCAGTATCATAATGTGCCAGACCCGAGCAGACTGAGTGAGGGTAGCTACCAGGAGCTCTGTGTTAAGAAAGATTCTGAGGCAGCATCTGGGTTCAGTGGAAAGAGCGATGATTGATTAGCAATGTCTGCCCTGGCCACCAATGGCTCAGTGACAGCGAGCACACTGTGCACCTGCCATCCCTCTGCCCAGCAGACATCCACTCCCTTTCCCGCTGTTCCCCCTCTCACAGAAATCCTCAGAAGGAAGGCACCCAGAAGGCTCCACGCCAGCCTAGAAGGAGGAGAGACAGAGTTTCAGTCACCATGGGGGCTGCCCTCTGGGATCCAGGCGGGAAGCCAAGGGTCGGCGTCCAGGGTCTCCTTGTCCACCTCCTCACAGGAATCGTAGAACACCAGCTGCTGCCTGCAAGAGTTGGAATTGAGAGGCAGACCCGGAGCCCCGGGCTGGGATGGCCGTGTGACCGGGGACAATCCGGTTCCCCCCTGGGAGTCTCAGTGTCACCCTGAGAAGGAAGATAGGGCCACTCCAGGCTGCTGGGGGCAGAAAGCTTAGTCCCCGAGGTGCCCGCCCTCAGCGAGCTTCCAGGCTGGTGAGGAGAGGCGGGCTGTGATCAGAGGCTGACACACGGGGGGCAGAGCTGTGACAGGCGCCCCGGGAGGAGTGACGGGGTGGAAAGCGCAGAGGGCCAGGGCATGGCTCCCGGGCAGTGGGGAAGGTTTGGTGGTGTCACGGCTAAGATTCCTGGGCGAGGCCAGGAGAGGGGCTGGCCAGGTGAGCGGGGGCCAGGGGTCTGCAGTGCCACACGAGATGCGGCTTTCCCTCCGGGCACTGAGGGCCGGCCTTAAGTCGGGGCCTGTGTGTTAGGGTGGTACACACGAGGCCCGCAGACGTGCTCACTCCACAGACACCAGCAGCGGATGTAAACCGGCCTCCTTTCTGTCCTCCCCGCAGCCTCCCCCGCTCAGAGCCCGGGGCCCCTACCTGGGGAGGGGCTGTGTCCTGTGGAGGAAATGGATCCTCTCCGCCCCATGCTGGGCCTCGAAGGCCAGGTCAGGCCCGGCGTCCCGGGCACCGTGTTTGCAGTAGCAGCCTAAGGGGGAAAGTCAGGAGGATCACTCCCGGGACGGGGCCAGGGGCCAAATGCACAGACGCGGGGACGGAGAGGTGACTGACGGGTCACCAAAACCTCAGGGCCTCCACGTGAGGCTCAGGGGCGCCCCGAGTCACCCTCAGGCTTCTGGAATCCCACATCCCTGTGGGAAGCCGTAAGGAAGACAGAATCTTGACGTGGACTAACGACGATGAAGACGATGGCAGCACAGAAACAGACGGTGCTCCCCCGCCAGCACGGCTACGAGTATCTTATGTGCTGTCAGGAACCCTCTGCCACAGCCCACCATTATTATAGCCACGTACAGTGAAGGAAACCGAGGCACTGCCATATCTGGTCCTTTGCCCAAGGTCACACAGCCAGCAGGGGATCTGGGAAGCCCTCCCTCCCAGGTGGCTCAAGCCTGCGTGGCCCCCGGGAAGTCTGGCCCATCAGTGACAGTGTATGACTCCTCCACTGGACCGTGTCTCCAGCACCCGGCACGTGGCTTGGCCCCGAGGGGCTGCTCAGGGAGTGTGGCCTGAATGAAGGGGCAGAGGAACAGGACAGCTCGAGGACCCGCCTTCCAGTCACTTTCTGCTGAGGCGTCACCACACCTTTCCGGAGCCAAGAGAGCAATCGGCTGCTTCCAAGGGGGGTCTCACGGGCACGCCCTGCTCTGGTCTCCAGTCCTGCAGCCGCAGGCCTTGCCCGAGGGCGGCACAAATCCTGTCCCACTCTCCCACCCACCACAGAGCACGGAGGGAAAAAGAAAACTGGGAAAGAGCCCAAGAGACGGGTCTTTCTCATCCACCACTGAACCCCCGGCTATGGGGACGGTGCCCGGGCGTCATGGCTGCCTGGGAAGCGGTGTGTAAATGACGGGCTAAGAGAACGGTGAGGAAAGAGACCAACTTGAGATGTCACACTGGACACTGCTCTCGGCCACATCCAGCAACGTCAGCCAGGATCTTCCTCCCTTCCTGTCACCTCGAGGCGGGGATGACACAGGCTTGGGGTGACCGCAGGAGCTGGGGCATCTTGGAGGGGTGGCGGTCCCCGCCACATTGCCTCCTTTCTGGTCTGGGGATGAGGTCACCTGCTCGTTGGGCTTGTCCAGGGCCAGACAGCGGCGAGGGTTCTGGGCCTGGGTCTGGCGTTCTGGGAAAGCAGAGAGAAGGTATGAGAGGGGCTGGGGGCTGACTGTCACCAGAAGATGGCTCAGGTGGCGTTCTTCTCTACTCTGGGCCCAACAACCTGTTCCAAAGCTGGGCCCGGGCGGGTCCCTCACCGCGCTTCCTGGGCGAGCCTGGATCCTCAGTTAGGGATCACTGAGTCCGCCGCTCCCTTCTCCTCCGGCGTGTTGGAATCGCCTGGAGAGCTCTGATGCCCAGGTTCACCCCCGACCACTGAAACCCAGCTTTCTGTGGGGGGCACAGGCATCAGTGCTCCCCAGATGATTCAGACGGATGCGCACCCAGTGCTAGGAATGGCTGATCAGGTCCCACTTCATTGTAAGGACGTGGAAATTGAGGATAGTGAGTCAGCCACAAAGCTGAGGTAGGCCGTCGCCTCCCGCAGTCGGTCCTTCCTCCACCCCACGCTCCCTGACCCCGCAGCCCCGGGATGCTGACTGGGCACAAGGACCACAAAGGCTGAGAGCAGCTCCCATCGCTGGGCACCTGTCCACTGCAGCCCTGCCCGGGCGGGCCACATGCAGCTCCCAAGCCTCGTCCCCACCCTGCGCAGGCGCTGTGATTCCAGACGAGGAAGCCGAGGCCAGAGCAGGAGAGGGGGACCCTCCTGGCCTCAGAGCCAGTGAGAGGAGGGGCCGGGAGTTGAACCCAGGCCTGTCTGACTCCGAAGCCTCGGCAGGGGCTCAGGATGGCCTCGGGGGCCTCCTGGGGGCAGTGACGCCTGGAGAAGATACCCGCTGCTTCCTGCTTCCCAGCCCGTCTCCTCCGACGGCTGGTACCTGACGCTCGGGCCAGCTTCTTCTTCTGGGGCTTCTGGCAGGCTCCTCGCAGCCGGGACTTGCGAGAGTGTGGGGAGCTGCACGGGGTGGAGTGTCTGTGCCTCGAGGGGCCCGCAGCTGGGCTCCGACCCAGCCCTGCAGAGGACAGAGAGGGAGACAGGTCAGGTGTCACCCTCAGCCCACCCCTTCTCCCACCTTCCAGACAGCGCTTCCCATCCTGGGCAGGGCAGTGGGGGCAGCCCCGCTCCCCAGGCTGACTCTACACATGTGGAAACCGAGGTCCTAGAAGATCAGACTGGTCGGAGGGTGCACAGCCGGGCACAGAGGTCCAGTGCGAAAACTCAAGCGCCCCCAGGGCTGGTCTGGGGCTCGGCTGAGAGGAAGACAGACTCAGAGCTCCCAAATGCTGCTCCATCTCCCCATCCCGAACCAGGTCCTTCTCCCACCTCCCTCCGACACGACCCGGAGGGCTCCACCACCCACCCCGGGTCGCCCCGGGCCCCTCCCTCAGGCCCCTCAATTTCTTCCTCATTAACATCTCCCCGAATGTACCCACTTCCTGCCACACTCTCAGCCACAGAGCTGGACTGGGCTCATGGTCTCCCGTCTGGATCACTCCTAACTATCTTCCCTGACCCCCTGACTCCAGTTTCCCACTGAATACCCAGTCCTCACGTTAGACGTGAGGGACCTTGTCCTGAAAAGCAGTCTGCTCATGGCGTTCCCCTGGCTCAGAGTCCTCCAGTAACTCTCATCTTCCTCATCTCCCTCCCCAGCCGGGCGCTCCAGGCCCTTCAGGAGCTCGCCCCCGCCTCACCTCCTACCACTCCCGCCGTGTATTTTTCATGCCAGTAACCACACCAGCACCGGACACACAGTCCTGGATGACCGGCACGTCCGGGCGCCGGGTTACAACACTCTCTCCACGTATTAACCCACTTCATCCTCGCGACAAATACAGACAGGAAGTACTAGTCTTGTTTTGCAGATGAGGAAACTGAGGCACAGAAAGTTTAAGGTCACAAGACATGTGTCTGAGTCAGGATCTGGCTCAGGAGCCTGTGCACAGTGTCTCGATGCTACACCCTGGCCCCCCAGTCACACCCACCGCTGGCCTGTCCCCAGACATTCCACACGTGTCTTCTCTTGCCTGCGCGTTCTTGCTCACATTGTTTCTCCGCCTGGCAGGTCCCCCTGGACTGTCCTCGGAGGCGCAGCTCCAGGCCCCCTGCTGCCACGGTCCTCCCGACACCCGCCCCTGAGTTGGTGGCGTCTCGCACATCTCCCTGACTTTGTCCCCGGCTCCAGGCTGCGAGGTCCGCGAGGGCCCGGACCACCCAGCGTCTCTGACCGCCAGGGCCACACGTGGCGCTGCAGGCGCTGGGAAGCGCCGGCTGAACTCACTCACCGCCTTCGCCATCGGAGGTGTGCAGTTGGAGCAAGGCCTTGGCCATGTCGATGCTTCTCTGGAGGTGCTGAATGTACTGCAGGACGTGCAGCAGAATCTCCTTCTGCCCCCGAAAGAAAGGCAGGGTTGAGCGCAAGAGCAGGGCCCCCGACAATGTGAGGCTGAAGAGAACGAGCGACAGATACTCCAGGACCCCGTGCCCCCCCCCCACGCCCCCAACAATTCCTCCAGCGGCTGAGATGTTCCTATTCTGGCCTTCAGTCCTCGTTGTGGCCCAGGGAGACGGCGGTTACAGCTAAGGCAACTGAGGCCCAGGGCTCCGAAGGGACTTGCTAAGGTTACAGAGAGGAAGGGGCAGAGCTGGGATCTGCCTCCTGGCCCAGTTTTCCAGCATATGCTGTTCGGCTTTCTGCCCCCGGCCCTTTGCACAGATTGTATTCTCTGTGCGCAAAGCCCTCCTCCTCTCCCCACAGACTCCCTCCCCCGGCTTCTCCTCCTCAGAGCAGCAGCATGGTCATCTCCCCTGGCAGACGTTTTCCCGCCTCCCTGACCCTCTGACCCAGGCAGGGTCAGTCCCTCCTCAGCACTCATGTAACCTCCTGGGCCTGTTTCCACCAAGACACGTGCCACACTGTTTTATAATTATCATCTACGTGTCATTCTCTCCTCTTGACCTTGAACTAACGGAGGGGAGAGACCGTAGCTAACTGACCTCTGTATCCCAAGCACACAGATGAGGGGTGGCCTAGCCAGTGATTGCTGAAGGAACAGATCTCCCCAGAGCACTGAGGGTGATGCCTCCTGACCAGCAGGCATCACCCCTCCAGACACCAAACACCAACTGGGTTGGTATTGGAGATACTAAGCTAAAAATGATGACTACCCACTAAGGGCCAGGTACACAGGAGTGAACAAGACTTTTTTTTTTTTTTTTTTTTTTTGGTGAGGAAGATTGGCCCTGAGCTAACATCTGTCACTCATCTTCCTCTTTCTGCTTGAGGAAGATTGTCGCTGAGCTAACCTCTGTGCCAATCTTCCTTTATTTTATGTGGGACGCTGCCTCAGCGTGGCTTGATAAGCAGTGCTAGGTCCACGACCAGCATCCGAGCCTTCGAACCCCAGGCCACCGAAGCGGAGTGTGTGAACTTAACCACTACGCCATCAGGCTGGCCCTGAGACATACTTTTGTTTGCCATCACGGAGCTTATAACCTAGTGGGGTCAACAACCTTAACTCATAAGTCATACCAAATTATGGACAGTGCGAGCAGCACTGTGAATAAAGCGTGTAATGAGGGATTCTGAAGTTAGCCTTGGGCATTGGGAAAGGCCTCTGAAGCAGCAGCATTTAAACTGAGCCCTGAAGAAGGGCAGCAGGGAGCCTGGTGAAGAGCTGAGGGAATGGTACCAGTAAGCATCTTTCAGGTTGAACCGGATCCCTAGAATAACCCTAAAACCATTAGCAGGAATCGTCTGAACCCCGAATCAGGAAACATGATCTCATGGGGGGCTTTCGTGAGGCTGTACCATAAACTGTAATACTGACGGTCGCTGAAATGTTTAACGTGACCCACGGAAGGGAGCTGTGACTAAGGAACAGACGGGACGCGGCCAAGAGGCCGTTAGTGTGGAGGGACACGGACTGCATCCACCGCTTACTGGCTGCATCCTGGGAGCAGGTTGTTCCACTTCCCTGAGCCCCGGTCTCCTCATCTGTGCAGTGGGAACGGGGATGTCAGGCTCAGAGGATAACCAGGAGGGCTTTAATCCCTCAGTGTGTGTGAAGTCACTGCGCACAGACCCTGGCACGTCACGTCGATGACTGAATGACAACACCTTCACCAGGATCTCGAGCGATTAAATGAGAAGCTTTCCTAACTTCTAACTAGGCCACGCGTTTTTCAAGAGCAGAGATCGTCTTTTTCCCTTAGCGTCTCCCAAACCAGGCTTAGCACGTGGTCGGCACTCACTAAGCTGAAGGACGGAAGGCTCAGAGATGGATACTTCAGGAAGCTTAGCTTGGGGACCACACCAGAGGTCCAAATCCCGGAGACCTTCTAAAGGGAAGATGGAACAGCCCTGTGACTGTCTCAACCGAGGGAATGTATTCATTCAACAAACCTTTGCTGAGCAGTGAGTGACAGAGCGGTTGAGGGTGTGGGCCTTTGGAACGAAACACACCCAACTCTCTCCCTCTGCCGCCAGCCAGCTGTGTCCCTCTAGACAATAGGACTCCTCAAACTGAAAAAACGAGCAGAGCAGACCCGTATGGATCCCACAAGCCTGGGGCGAGGATTAAATGGGAAATGTACATAAATGCTTGGCATCAGGGTCTGAGCCCTTGGCCTCTCAGTAAATTGTGAATCGGGAGCCGGTGTTACAGTTGTCTGCTGTGTGCTAGGCCCTGCGGCCGGGGGGATGCAGACGCGTCCATTACGGTCCCTGCCATCACGGAGCTCCTCGTTGAAAGGGGTCAGAGCCGAGGAAGCAGTGCAGTAACATGCCGAGGGCCTGGGCCGTCAGAGGGAGAAGCGGCTCTAGGATTATGCGGGGCGGGGGGCACTCAAACAGTCAAGATGGCGAGGAAGGGCGCCACGGATCTTGGCGGCATCCCAAATCTCCAGCACGGGCGAGGCAACACACGATAGCTCCCGTGAGTTCACTGGGCCCCGAGCTGCCCTGGGACCAGCTGCAAGGATGCATGTCAGGCCGACCGGTCAAGGGGGGCCGCATGATGCATAATGTCCCCAAGGACATCCACGTCCTCGTCCTCAGAACCTGTGAATATGCTGCCTTATATGACAAAGGGGGCTTTGCATGTGTGACTGAGTGACTGACTGAGGATCTCGAGGTGGGGAGACTCTTCTGGATGATCTGGGTGGGCCCGACGTAAGCACAAGGGTCTTTACAAGCAGGCGGCAGGAGGGTCGGAGGCAGAGAAGGTGAAGTGGCGCCAGAAGCAGAGGAAGAGGAGGGCAATCTGAAGATGTTGCGCTGGGGGCCTCGGAGGGGCCGTGAGCCGAGGAATGCGGGCAGCTTCTAGAAGTCGGTGAAGGGAGAGGAAGCAGAATCTTCCCTGGACCCTCCAAAAGCCAGCCCTGCTGACCCCTGACCAGTGGGACTGACCTCTGACCTCCAGCACGGGAAGAGAATAAACTCGTGTTACTCTAAGCCACTGAGTTTGTGGTGTTCTGTTACAGCAGCCACAGGACACTAGCATGAGCACCTGAGACTGAGAGAGAGTTAGGAGGGAGAACGAACATGCCCGGTGGGTGACGGGTTAGGGTTAGCGTTAGGCTCAGACAAACTTGTCCCAAACACCTGCTCTCTGGACCCCTCTGAAGGCAAGTAGCACGTTCCAGCCGGGCTGCGTGATTCCTGTGTTCAGATCTTTATCTTCCTGACCAGATTCTGAGTTCCCAGAGGATGAGGGCTGGGTCTCAAATCTCTTTGCAACCAGAACAGCTTCTGACATCCAACAATCTTTCCACACATGCCTGATGAATGAATGAACAAATGACCGAACGAGCCTGGGTGTGTAGCAGGCTATACATCTCGGTTTGTGTAAACACATGCTGTGATGTTCGCACAACGATGCACCCGCCTAACGACGCATTTCTCAGAACGTGTCCCCGTCACTAAGCGATGCCCGACTGTGTGTCCATTCATTGAGTAGTCACTGAGGGCACGCAGAAATTCTCTCTATCCTACCTCATGGAGATGGTTGAGGCCACAGAACAAGGGACTCGGGAAGGAACCGACATTCATCCAGGGCCTGTCACGGCTGTGATGTCATCTTGGCCTCACAATGTCTCTGGGCGGTCGGAGTTACGTTCCCTCGTTTTCCAGCTGAGAAGCTTAAGGCTTGAGAGGCTGAGCAATGTGCGTGGTCTGCCCAGGGTCCTGCAGCTGTGCAGCTGGGGGCTCAAATCCGTGGCTGTTCGACGCCCAAAGTGATGACCTGTCCCGGTCCCTTCTCTCTTCTCCCCCTCGCAGCTCCCCCTTCCTCCTTTGCAGGAAAGAATCCCCAGGCTCCTAGTCATGGGATCGCAGACCCCCAGAAATTCCCGTCCCGAGCAGGGCCATTCCCATCTCAGTGCGGCCCCTGGAAGAGTCTTTCCAGGTTTCCCAGGACAAGGGAGGGTGACCGGTTGACTGATACTGTCAGACCTGCCTCCCAAATCCTCCTCTCCTTCGGTCCCCCTACCTTGGTGAGCTTCTTGGTCCCGACCTTCAGGGCCACAGGGAGCAGCAATGCCAGCTCGTGCAGTTTGCTGGTGTGATTTTTCCTCTGCTTCCTGTTTGGGGACAAGAGTTTGGGTTAGGACATCCAAAACGGAATTGGGCACTTGCCTCCCGTCCCAGTGTTCATCTCAGAGAAGCTCCACGCCCCGGGCACCCGAGACAGGATCCCGGGCATCATCTGGACGCCTCCCTCTCCCTTATCCCCTTGCCCAATCGGTCACCAAATCTTGCCCATTCCTCCTTGACCCCTTCTCTCCATCTCCATCGGCCCTAGTCCACGTGTCGACGCACCCCTGGGTCTCCCAGCCTCCCATCTGGCCTCCTGCAACCCACACTCTCTACCAGTCAGGGCGATCTTTCTGCAACACACATCTGACCGTGGTGTTCTCATCCGTGCAATGGGAACGAGGACATTCATTCCAGCTCAGAGGACAATCAGGAAGACTAACTAAATCAGTGTGCGTGAAATCGCCCAGGACAGAACCTGATATGTTAGTTGCCTAGTGAGTGCTTCAGACCTCTCAATGCCATCGCAGTATTAAGGATCGAGTTTAAACCCTTAACGGGCCTTATAATGCCCATCACAGGCCGGCCCGGCCTGGCTGACCATTCTGGTCTCATTTCTTCCTTCCTTTGCTTCTCTCCCATGGACCAACCCTAACTCCACAGGACAGGGGAGCACTTCTGCTAAGGGACCCCAGCCCCACATAAAATTGCAACTGGGACCAGAGAGGGAGGGGAGGGGACATTACAGATGAAACTGCGGGGCCCCTTGATCAAAAATTAAAATTTCAAGATGGTGAGAACACAGTATTTAATCAAGTATCGGGTTTTTCTAAGCAGAGGGCCCTGGAACTGCATGTGGCTCACGCCCATGAAGTTGGCCCTGATGGGGACAAAGGAGAGGTGTGGCTTGGTGTTATGGAAGTTTGTGGCTTTGATCTGATCTATGAGATCTTCCCTGAGGAAGTAAACCTGGCATGAACCTGTTCTGAAGGATGAGTGGAAATGTACAGGTGAAGAGGGAAAGAGAATGTTTCAGATAGAGGGAGCACATGCAAAGGCCCTGTGGCATGAGGGAGAGATCAAAGGAAAAAAAGCTGGGGCACAAAAAGGAAGGAGTCCTGTGGGGTAAGACGAGGCTGGAGAAGGAAGTAGCGGCCAGACGCAGGGTCTTGTAGGCACATATTATGGAAGACCAACAGGAAGTCATTAAACAGCTTTACCAAAGAAATGACATCATTAGTTCACCCCCTCAAAACCGCTTTGAATACAGGAGACTATACGTATTAGTCAACTGAATGAAGGAATGAAAGAAAGAAAACCCTACCAACTGGTCTCCAATTACCTCCTGGTAGAAATCCTAACTTTGAGGGGCGAGGATATGGGGGTTCTCTCCCTGGAGAAAAACTGGATAGGCTGACCTCTCACTCCTTTCTAGCCCTGATGTTGATTTTTTGCAAACCACTTTCCTTCTGTTCTAGAGGAGCCCCTGGGAGCCCCAGCGAGAAACAATGCGGAAAACAAGGAAGAAAAAGTGTCTGGGTCAATTTAAGTTCAAGGTGCTATTTGCCCAGGTTGGAGAAAAAGGCTTTCATATCAACAATAGTCCCTGGGGTTTATTCTGGGGTTTGCAAAGCACCGAGAGAGCTTTCTGAGCAAAAACAGAAGTTCCAGAAAAAAAATCTGGAAGGAGGAAAAGGGTGATGAGCAATCAAAAAATCTTGGCATCTTCTGGCTGCCGTCCTGAATGGGCAGACAGGGGCCGGGTGCTGCTCCCAAGGCTGCCCCTTTTCCTGGCTGGATGCTTCTGGTTTTAGCCAAATTCTTCTCTCCTAGTCTCTATAATGTTCCCCCGCTAATCTCAGCTCTGCCCTCTGGGTCTGCGGGGAACAGGTCAGCTCCAGTTACACAGGTCCTTTTTCTGTTTCTCGAAACCGGCCAAGTTTATCTCTGCCTCAGGGCCTTTACAGTTCCCTCCCCCGGAAGGTTCTTGAGCCCTGATTTTTGCATGGCTGGTTTCTTCTCTGCCACTCAGTGCTCAGCTTAAAGGTAACCTCCTCAGAGAGGCCTTTCCGGACCCCTCCATCGAAACAGGCACATTCTTTGTCCCATCCCCACATCATTTAGCAGCATCTGAAACCCTCTTTCTTTATTTATTATAAGTATAAACTCCACGAGCGCAGGGATTTTAGTCTTTTTTTATTTATTGCTAGATCCCAGGCTGACTTACCCAATAGGTCCGGTAAGCACAGTGCCTGGGGCCGGTGATACTTTTAGGGACTCAAAAAAATGCCTTCATTTCTTTTAAAATCCGAAGAGAAAAAAATGAATATAAGCTAACTTGGGTTATATTCATCTTTGTACCAATGCTGTTGTAAAGTATAATTTTTAATACTTTTTTAATGGAAGAAGGGGCCCAAGATGGAAAAATTGCCTAAGGTCCACAAAAGTCACACCGTGCCTGTGGCTACAGTCTCGGCTCCTAGAATAATGCCCGGCACTTAATCGGTGCTCAAGAAAAAATCGGTGAATGAGTGAATGCCCCCTCTGGCTAGCGATGGCCTCCCGGCCTTTCAAATGGCAAATGACTCGAATTCCCAGGTTGCCGCTTGCCCAAGCTATGCACCCAAAATATTCTCCGGCTCCTTTATTTTAAGAGAGTTGGAAGGAGGCTTATCGGAGTCAGCCCAAATTTCTCATACTAGCTGTGGGAAAACCAAGGCCCAGACCCCAATTTGCTCTAACACGTGCAGGGACTGGAGAATCAGAGCTGCCCCAAAGTGGGACACAGCAGGGGGAGGTCCCAAGGGGCAGCATAAGAGTGGTAATAAGTTCCAGCTTTGGAAGCAGACGGAGCTGGATGGAAATCCCAGCGCTGCCACTTGCTGTGTGACTTTGGGCAAGTGCTTTCACCTCCTCTGAGCCTGTTTTGAACTCTGATAAAATGGAGGTGGCTAGGAAGTTTGATCTTGTCTGGAGGGCGTTTAGCACAGAAGCTGGCACTCGGGGAGAGCTCAGGAAATGCTAGTTCAAGACAGAAGGTGGACAGTCACTTGTCAGAATGACTTAGGGATACGGGATGTTGGAGAATGGGGGGATGGAGGTATGCTATCGGATGACTATGGTTGATAAAACTATTGTTTTGGGTTGGCCAACATGCAATCCCCCCTTTTCTGGTGACAGTTTCCTTTGGGGAACCACCCGTCCCCCACTCTCCGTCCGTGTGGTTTACAGAGGCTGACCCCAACCTCCCCTTCCACTAGGGAGCACGGAACCAAGGTTCAGCCAAGAATCACAGCGACTGGTTCAGGACTGGGGTTATAACCCAGGCTCGGCCAATCAGAGTCAACGGATCCTGGAAAGAGACTCTCTGCCAAGGGGTCAGGCTGGCGGGACACGGACCCGGAGCTGCTGGGAGCCACCGTGCCTCCACAAAAGGGAGCCTGCTTGGGAAGGAAGCCGACACAGACAAGAGCAGAGCCAAGACAGGCAGACTCCTGGCAACACCAGTTAACGCCCCGCCTGGAACCAGCCAAGCCTGATGCCCCTGAATTTTCTGTTTATCGGATCCCATAAATCTCCTTTTATGCTTAAGCTTGTTTCAGCTAGGTTTCTGCTAATTGCAACTGAGGGTCTTTATTAAGACAACAACGCCACGTCTAGAAATGAGGAAAGGATGTCACGCCAAGAAAGAGTCCGGCGAACGGTAAATGCTCAGTAAACAGTATTGTCAGGATCACGTGACCACCGTGGCCGGACGATCGATCGGGCGGGGAGAGCCCTTACCTGTCCCCGGGGCTCAGGGAACCGGCTTTGGGCCGTTCCGGGGAACACACGTGTCTGCTGGAATCCCACATCTGCAAAGAGGGAAAAAGAAAGAATCAGGAGCCGCCGCCGGGACTCCAGGAGGAGCGGGCAGCCTTCGCCTTCCCCCGCCGTGGTGCTCCTTGGAGCACTCAGAGATCCCCAAATAGGGTCCCCGACCCCCACGAACGCAGGCCCAGAAACCAAGTTAAAACCCCAGAACTCTAAACTGCAGCCCGTGAATCCTAAATTGTCAATTTGGGCCCTGAGTCATGATCTGGACCTAAAACTATAAAAACAGCATACTCCCAAACTCTGACTTCAGAACTTCAGTCTGAATAGTCAGGTGTCGGACCACCACGCCCGAAAACGGTGATGTAAAGACCATAAACTCCCAGAGTGAGGACCTAGAACCCCAAAAGGAGCCCTTCGAAACCTAAAAACCCTAAACCCTGCTACTGAGATCCTCTACACTCCCAAACTGTCAACTTCTGATCCCCAGATATGACCCTAATCCCAATATTAAGATCACAGACCGCAAACCCTAACACTGAGAACCCAGATCCTAAAGGAAGAAACCCAAGCCCCCCCAAAGCCAGCCTCAGCCCTGCAAACTGACCTCAGATCGTAAAAGAAAGACCCCCGAGACCCCAAAACTGTCACCAGACCCTCAGGCTGTGTCCCTCAACCCTAAAACTGAGAGCTCACCTGTGAGCCCCACTCTGGGACCCAGACCCTACGACTGAAGCCCTCTCCTCCATGTGGGGGCTCCAGGCCCTCACGCTTAATTCTCAAAGTCCCAAACGGTGACTCCAGACCCTAAATCTCATCCCCTCTACGCTCCACTGAGATTTTAGACCCTAAATCTATCCTGAGGCTTCAATGCTCCCACATCAGACCCAGACCCCCCTCCCCACCCCAAATGATACCCCAGAACTCAGAACGAAGACTGCCCCATCCCCAAAGGAGGGTGTCCGGGTTCCAGCAGGAAGGCTCGCAGCCACAAAACCCAAGACCCCCAGGTTCCAAAACGAGTCCCACCCAGACGCAAACCCGGAGACCCCACATCCTAACGTGAGACCCCAGACCCCCAAACTGGGCCTTCCGCCTCTCAAACTGGAGCCTGGGCTCCAAACCCGGGCAGGCCTGCCCTCCTGTCCCCACTACCCCCCCCCGAACCCCACCCTCGAGGGAGGACACAGTCCCAAAGTGCTGCTCGCCAGCGGTCACCCCCCTGCGGCCGGCCCGACGCAAGGGGTCGCCCGCCCGGTCCCCTGGGCCTCCAGGCCCTGCCTCAGGCCGTGCAAAATGGCGCGAGGAACCCCCTTCTGGTTTCGCGCCAGCCCCACCCTTGGGAGCCCGATCAGCCCTTGGCTCGTGCTGGTCCCAGGAGGCTGGCCACGCGCGCGGCCACTGCGTTCCCAGCCCCGGGGGGCGCGAGGCTCGCGCGCGTGAGGCCGGACGGCGCCCCTGAGGCCAGGCCACGCCCCCACCAGTTCCCGCCAAAGGCGAGCAGGGCGCGAGGCCAGACGCGGCAAACGGCAGAGTGCGGGCGGCAGTGCGCATGCGCGTGTGCGCCTGGGGACCGCCCCGTCTTCCCGCCCAGCGCGAGCTTGGCCTCGCGCCTCCTGCCTCGGCCTCTGCGGGCGTGCGCCAAAGTGCCGACCAATCATCGCTCGCTCAGCTGCCCGCCTTTTCGGCAGGCCCCGCCCCGCCTGGCCACGCCCCCTGCCGGCTCCCGTGGTCCAGGGCTGATGGATGCTGATAATAGAGGCGGGGTCTCCCCAACTGCCAACTCTTCCCCGGGGAAGAGAGATCTGGAGGGGCCCTCGAGTGTCCCATTTCCATCTTTCCCTTCAGCGCATGTCTGATGAGGGCCTGCTGCGTGCCAAGCATGCTGGAAGTTGGGGATTTAGCGCGATCTTCCCAGTGCGGTGGGGAAGGCTCACAGACCAGGAGAATCTAGTGGGCAGGGGCCACGTTAAAGAGCCACAAATTGAGAAAAGATTCGAAGAGCAAGGCCATTGGAATTGGATCTTAGCTGTTTCCCTCATGAAGATTTATGTTCCTTCGATAGAGCAAACCCTGCATTTTAGAAACGGCCCACGAGGAGGATGGACTGGAAAACGCAGCTTAAGGGGAGGACATCCAGCGACCTAGTGGGGAGCGGAGGCCCTGGCGTCCAACACATTTCAGTTCAAATCACTTTCTTGCTGTGTTGCCATGGAGAAGAGGCTTAATCTCTTTCTGGCTTTAATTTTAAATTTGGGATCATTCTTACTATGGTTGTCTGCAGTATATAATTAGCATGCAATAAATATTGACTCGACACTTATTTGCACTGTTGTGGGTGCTTGAACAAGGTGCACAAAGGGGCTTGTCCTCGTGGAGCTCCTATTCTAACCGTGATGTGGACGAGTTCCTAGTGCGTGGGGGCTTGCCTCCCTCCAAAGTTTTAATTTTCTCACTTATAAATTAGGGGGTGGTGGTAAGAAAACCAGGGGGGGAAAATGGATGGGAAAGTGTTTGAGAAATTACAAGGCACTGTTTATTATCATTTTAATGAGTTTAAGTAAATCGATAACCTTGCTCTTCCCCAACTCTCCACCCCTCACAAACACCCGTTTGCACTTTTCTCGATTCCCTTTCCGAGGGTCCTGGGCCAAAATGGAGGAGAGCCTGGCGGGGGCGCTCTCTGCGCCTGCGCTGCCAAGTGCCCTCTCCGCCTCCTGGGAGTTAGAGTCGTTCTTTTCCTCAGCCCGCCCAGTTTGCTTCCTTTCCCCACCTCCAAGCTGGGCCGTGCTGCCTTCTGGGAAGTGTAGTCCGTGGCCGCTCGGACTCCAATTCCCAGCGGGCTTCGGGGCGGGAACCCGGAAGGGGAGGCTGGAGAGGAGCGAGTGGGGGAAACCCGCGTAGCCGAGGGAGCTGCGGCGCGGGGAGATGGTGAGAACCCCGAGAGGGGGCCAGGGGCGCTTGAAAGCCGGGGCGGGGGTTCGGGACCAGGTGGCGAGAGGGAAGAGGCAGGGGCTAAAGAAGGGGCTGGGCGAGGGGAGATCGCTTGGGGGAGGGGATTGGGAGGAATGGGAGCTCGAGGGAGTAGTGGAGGAATGGGGGCTGGGGACGGGTCTTGGAGGTGGGGAGGGAGTCGAGCTTTGGGACTGGTTGTTAGGGAGCTCAGAGCTGGGGAAGGGAGTCCCGAGTTGGAGAAGGGGCTGGGCGTCCAGGCAGAGGCCCTGAACGGGGCAGTTTCGAAGGGGTTAGCCTGGGGGTTGTGGAAAGGCTTGGAAGTCAGGGCTAGATGAATGAGCGGGTCTGGAGGCTGCGAGGGAGGGGCCAGCTGTGGATGCGGTGGGTTGGGGCCTCTGGATCCGACTGGGGGCAGGAGCTCAAGTTGAGATGGTGGGAGAGAGAAGTCAATGGTAGAGTGGTATGTGGGTTAGGCTCTAGGACTCGGGGTGGGATGGGGAGCGCGAGATTAGGGGTCTGGATGTAGCGATAGTTTCCTCGTCCAGCCGGAGACTCCCGGTAAACAAGACAGTCGCAGAACTGTAGGATCATACGGCCAGAAGGGGCCGAAGAGACACCCTTTTGCACTCATTTCTCCAGTGGGATTTAGAGAAGCGTAGTGGGTTATCTCTATGGGCAGTCCAGCATTCAGATCCCTTATTCTGCCACTCCTCTGTGACCTGGGCAAGTCTCCCCTCTCTGAAACTCTGTGTCATTTTCTGTATCGTGGGATCAACGTGCCACTGAGAAGAGGGGAGGCTGCATAACATCCTTACTGTGGCTGGCAGAAAGTCCTCCGTCTCAGATCTGTTGGTGGGAAGCTCCCCACCCCAGGAATGTGACTGGGTCACAGGTGCTAATGAATTCCCTCCTTTTCAGCCCAGGGGCTTTTTTTCTCAGCACCTGGCACCGATCTGGGCACATCCCAGCTCAGAAGCATGCCGGGGCTCCCCACAGTAGATTACAGCTAGCGCTTATTGTTTAGGAAGTGCCTGGCCCTCTTCTTAGCTGTTTGTGCATATTAACTTGTTTAATTCTGCCAACACTGCTAAGGTGTAGGCGCTGTTATTATCTGCATTCTACAGAAAGGAAGCAGAGGCACAGAGAAGTTAAGCCACTTTCCCAAGGTCATCCAGCATTAAAAGGCAGACGCACAATTCCAACGTAGGCATCCTGGCTCAGCATCTGTGTTTTCACCGCCGTAGTTTGGTTCACTCTCCTTGTGCGGAAGTCCAATGTCACGAGTAGGCAGCGACTGGGGAACTGAAGCTGTCTTCACTTTGAATTTTAGTTCTGCTATTTACTTGCTTTGTGACCTTGGGCCAGTCTTTTGACCTCCCTTCAACTATAAGATGGGATGAGTAACCCTAGGAAGGTGAGACAGTTCGGGGAGGCAAGCTTGTAAAGTGGAGTAAGTGCTGAAGACACATGACTTGTCTTTTTTTTTTTTTTAACATCAGTGGGAGCCTGCAACCTGAGAGAGAAGGCAGGTAGAGAGGGACCAATGAGGGAGATGCCAGCCAGCCTGCCTCCTTTCCTTTCTCTCCCAGGTTGCCCCCATATCCTGACTCTTCTAGTTCCCCACTCTCTGCTGCTGGGCTCCCAAGTCCAAGGGTGACTCCCTGAGGGGGTGCCCAGAAACTCCATCTGTCCCCATCCGTCTCCGCAGCCAAGTATAAATAATTCACTTGCCCATGCCCAGCCTGGCCCGACTCCAGGTATTTCCGTGAATAGGAATTATTTCTACCCACTGTGTGGTTCCCCCCCCCCCCCACCTTTGGGTCATTTTGACCTCCCGGGGAAGCTTGGCAACTTTGTAATTCCTCTTGAAACGGTTTGGTTCTTTGCCATGAGGCTTCGGGAGTTTAAGTCATAAGTTCTCTGACTTTGCGAGGAAAGCTTATGATTAAAAGTATTGGCTTCAGATAGGTTCAGGTTCCTCACCTCTGCTGCTGTGTGTCCTTGGCCAAGTTGCATTCCCACTCTGGGCCTCAGTTTTCTCTTGTGTAACATGGGGCCACATTCCAACAATGAGGCCCTTGTAAGGTAATGAGGTAACCTATATCAAATGCCTAGTGCACGTGAAGCTCTCCATAAGTGGGAGGTCTTTTTGTGATTTTTATTCTTTCAAGAAAAATGTATTGAGTACATACTCTGGAGCCAGAACACCCAGATTTAAATCCTGACTTCATCACCCATCAGCGGTGTGACTTTGGGCAAGTCACTTAACCTCTCTGGGCCTCCATTTCCTCTTCTGGAAAGTTGGGGTCCCTTCTAGGAGTAGTCCACACCCTGCCCTTGGGGAGCTTGCCGTCGTCACAGTGCTAGGACCATCTTGCGGCTCTGGTGGCATTGGCCCCGCATTTTTCAGGTTTGAGTTCTCTGTTATTGATTCATTTTCAGCCCCTCCTGCCAGCTCTGTCTGCTTGTCTTTGCTTTCATGGATTTTTAACACTTTGTCTCTGAAAACCTATTGGTTTCCGGAAAAGTTACCAAGCTCTCAATCATGCCTGTTCCTGGTCGTCGTCACATCTGGGTGCCCGGGGGTAATGGAACACTCTTTTTTCCTTTCCTTTATTTGTTTGTCTTAGAAAATGTGCCTGCTTTCCACGTTATTTCGCCATTTCTTCAGATCCTAAATGTGTTTTCAGCCTGTGCTTGTCTGAAGCTTACTCATACAAAATGATATTTTTACCATGTCTAATGGTATATTTCTAGCGGCTCTGGTAGAGCTGTATTATTCCTAAAAGCACAGGTTTTCTAAAACGCTTGGCTCATCCCTTGCTCCGTGATGCCATCCTGACCCCTTGATTAAGATCGTAACCACCCCCCACCCCCTCTGACACTCCATCCCCCTTTTCTGCTATATTTGTCCCCCACAGCACTTGCCACCTTGCAGCTTACTGTGTATTTATGGAGCCTCTGTCCAGTTAGTATGTCAGCCCCACGAGGACAGGACTTGGGTCCCCCTTTCCCTGCGTATCTATCCCCACTGCCCAGACAGTGCCCGGCACACCGTAGCCGCTCTGTAAATATCAGTTTAATTAATAAGTGAGACCCTGTACCCGACAGTAGCAAAAGAAGGGCCATGTTTTGGTTATTGTGGGAGGCTGCGATCCATTTAATTTCAGAATGTAAAATAAAGAGGGAAGACGTCTTTTGGCTCAGTCAGTGATTATCAAACTCTTAGGCAGTCTCACCTTCTCTTAATAATCCCAGCCCCTGAATATTGAGCCTCCCCTCGGTACCTGGCTGGCACTGGGTGCTCCTCTGGGTCGATCTCAATGAATCGTGAACCCAGCTATGGGTGGGTGCTGGTATAATCTGCGTTTTACGGTGGGGGAAACTGAGGCACGGAGGGTTGAGCACCTTGCCTGAGGTCACACCCCCAGAAGTGGGGGAGCTGGGGTGCTGGCGGGCCATGCCTGGCATCCTGTATCTCTAGATCCGGAGGCCTGGATGATTCTTTAGGGAGCTATTATTCAGACAGGAAGACTTGAGAAGGGGAGAGAGGCCGGGAGACCCTGAGGCCAAAAAGCCAAGAAAAAGAGTTTGGATGGATC